TAGAGATGGAAATGTCGACATTCTTAAAGTACACCTTAATTTCAACTTCAAGCCCGTCAAGATTACTTCGATTGGAATTCAGAATAACTAAAATCCGTTTGCTGGTATTGTCGTCCTATTCGTTACCTATTTGTTTTAGAAATAATAATTCACTCAGCCATTTGCGTACACATGCTTATACAATTATTTACAACCCATTTGTAAATCCACATGACAATATACTTCAAAGTAAACTAGCTCATTCAAAATATTAACTAAAGGTTTGGATATGGATGGATCAGCTGAAAGAGAATGAAGTGTTTCAAGTTTTCACATCCATTTGTAAGGTAACTTCACTTCAGACTGATATAGGAATGAAAAGGTGGTAACTTTGACCATAATTTACGAAATCAATCACTAGCCTTTAGGCATTTCAGAGAAATGTGAATTTTACATTCAACTATGATTAAGAGGTGAGCTGCAGTGATTCAAAATCATACAATGTATAACGTTACAATCTCACTGAAACGGTTGCTGACTTGTGTCAACGTTAAAGTAAATGATGCAATGATTTTTTTATGAAGCAAATCAATGTCACATTGGACAACAAACCACTGGCAAACAGTGTATGTATGCTCGAAACAACTATTAAACATTATAAGTTGAGATCAATTTGAAAGATAATAAAGTATTTTTATTATTAATATCTATAACATCTCAAATGATCACTTTAGATTAATAAAAAGCAACTTGATTATTTCCTTATTACTAGTTAGCTGAAAATCGAACTCCAACAATACAACAACATAACACAATAAATCAGTAGTATTCAAAGTATTTTTATAGTTAAATTTTTATTTCAATATAATTAATTAGTAATACAATAACAAGAATTTCGATCATAATAACAATATTAAAGAAAAGAGAGATAACTGAGAAAAATGTGAAGATCCATGCATACAAACACACATGAAGTGTGGATGAGCATTAGAAATTTGAGACTGTAAGAAACTAATCATTGTTATATTCCATATAAATAATAATAATAATATAAATGGGTAATATAGATGAAATATACGAAAAATAACAGTGTATTCAACAATATTTACTTTAAATTCACAAATTATATCTCGGGATAAAATTGTTAAACTGAAGAACCCAGTAAACCGGGTGTATTATTTAATACGCTAATAACAATACTAAACATAACAATTGATGACAAACAGAACCAGTAAGCAAGTCAAAACAAAATACCAGCAGACAAACAATTTAAAGATTCAATGAGAATGAAAACAAGACTTTTCTATAGCACAAAAGTTTAAAATAAAAATGTAAACAAAATGTGCATCTGAAACACGGTGAGCAACTATGACTGAAAGATTGAAGAAACAACAACACCATAAGTGATGTCAGAAAGGACAGCAACAAAGAAACAAAACCGAAAAGAGGATAGTCAGTTAAAACTAGAAGAGGAAATCAAATAAATAAATAAATAAATTGGAATAAGAACGACAACAGTTACAAATATGACCTAGGAACGCCCGAATGCAGACTACAAACATTTGTGACGATGTTCACGAATGGTAATTAGAATAACAACGAGATTAGTAGTAGTAGTACTTACACTATTAGTAATAAAGAAAAATATGTATTTTTTTGTCTTATATGTGTATGTATAGTAAATCAACTGATATAAAAATAGCTGAGTAGAGTGACTGAAACAGATGAAAAATCCATAGAAAAAAACAAGACCAAAACGAAAGAAACCGCGCACGTAATCGGTGTTAATTAATTAATAAAGAATAAATAGGCAGTGACGGCTAAAAATAAAAATTGGCTTAAATTCATTGGTATAAAAAACCAAACAAAACAAAAAAATAACCAAACGAAAAAAACTGGCTATTGCACATAAGTGAGAAATTTGACAGATAGATTATTAAGGTAGATCAATAAATTGAAAACCTCTTCATTAGTATCTCAAGATAAATAGGAGTAACAAAGGTTAAAATATAGAAGGTACAACATTGGCTAAATAGGTCTTCTGCACTCCAAGCATAGGTACTCATATATGCATGTAGTAACCGAATACTAACACAATAAGCTGTTTAAAAGTTGGTACATACCTCAATCTGATTATTAAATGAGCTATAGTTAGATGGAAATGATGAAAATTGTTTCATAATTATCAAATCACAATAAAAGAGTATATTAACAAAAGAGGAAATCACATTTCACACTGAAAAACCAAGTTGAACAGTAAAACTAAACAAAAGACTAATATCTAAACAGAAGAGTGAAAAGAAAGGAACCACAACACAAAATAAATAACATCCTAAAGGAAAGCCACAAAAGAGGGACACCCAAAAATACGGATCCATGGAAATATCTAACATACTTTCTTGTTTTATTTTAAAGTAACAAAATGAAGCAAAAAAACGATAAAAATTCGGATTACTTTTAGACAGTTATTTTCTGTTTATATATAAAACTTTGTTTGTATGAATGTAGATAATACAAGGGGTAAATAATAAGTTATATATATATATATATATATATATATATATATATATATATAAACAAATGAGAAATCTAATAAAATATTTTGATAAATAACGGTAGTAAAAAGATGCAACAAATAAAAACACTATGAAAATATTTATTTTATCAGATATATGTTTTATGGCCAAACAGCAACAATGATTTTTTGTTAACTTTTTTTCATTGAATATATTAATGTGAAAAATCAATTTTTTTTCACTTGCTGTTCCAATAATTTGTTTTCTTTCCAAATAAAAAACAGTAAACAACATACCAGAAAATGAGTAACAATATGTATAATAACCAGAACTGAAAGAATTTTCTGTCCTATAAAAGCATTTTTATTTTGTTTCCAGAGATATAAAAAAAACTCAATCTGATGTCAGCTGTGATATCGAATTCAGTACAAATGAGTAGGATTGTTTTAAGCATCATACATAAATATTATCGATATAAAGAAAAGTAGAACAGAGTACATTTTAATCTAACTGGGAAAACGAACTGAAATAAAAAATGTAATTAAGAGAAATGTTTGTTTTTTGCAGTAATTAATAGTAAGTCCTTTTATATGGGATAGTAGATACCATGAAATGTCAATAAGAAAATTTACTTTGAGGTGATAGAGGAAGCACCATAAAACCAATGACTAAGATTTATGACCAAAATGTCGTCTAACAAACGAAATCATTGAAAATAAAGAAAACTACAGAATAGAAAGAGAAAAACCGCAAGTCAAATAACTAGATTTTATTTTGAAAAGGTAACCAATGGTAAAATTATTTTTTTTAAAACAACATAAGTACGCACAAGAGCCGAGATCAGTAAAAACGCGAGTTACAGAATGCCTTTGAAGCATCATTTACAACAAACTTTTACGAGCAAACTATTTGATTGAGCAGATGAAATTGATAAGCAAAAAAAGTATGAGTGAAAAATGTTTTAAAACACATACATACTAACTCTCCACTCATTTGCCACACTTCACTTTAACAAAACATCACAATCTGGAAGCGCCCTGAATATGGCTTGTGCGTGGAAAGCGAACCATCACAGAATACTATTATTATTAAGTAAACGAATTAATGGATCAAGTAGATAGCAATGAAAATTATCTGCAGCATGAATGCATCACGAGCCAGCGCAATAATTTTAAAAATTACAAACATGCACATTTACAAAATAAACCACGACTTAAAAACAAGGAGAGAAGTATGAAAATCTGCGACTCAAAACAAAGAGATATACTAATTCATACAGATAGTATAGGCATAAGTACACGACACAAAAGAGATGAATGAAAGTTGTCGGTGTAACATACATAAAATATTTATATTTCGCACGTTTCATCACTCTGTGTTACTCAATGATATAAATAGTGGAAATGCATTGTGAATCACGTTCGAATGTATACATTCAACGTATACGTAGAGATGTACTCACCAGATTGAGAATTAAAAATATACACATACTGATTCCGCATGAAATGACATTATAAGAAGCAATGTTGAATTGTTAAAATCCATAAAAAAGGGTTTGCTTGCTTGTTTGTTGCATAACGTATAAGATGGAGAACAAAAACATAAAAACAATATTGCGTGAACGTACTACCATAACTACAATATATTAAATAACAACATGAAAGAATGTAAGAAAATATATGATTTTTTGTCTAATTTTTGTTGGGTTTTTGTAGAAAGTGTTACATTGAAAAATAAATAAACAAAGGAAAATACCAAACAACAAAATAACATTACAAAAATAAAAAGTACCCCACATATACACACCCTCCCCCCCAGGGCTCGAAACATTTTCACCCAGTGTTTAAGCACCAAAACAAAGGAAAGAAAAAGGTAGTGACAATTACCAAGTAGAAAGATAACAAGGAAACATGGTAGTTTGGCGGGAAGTATACGATAGAGGCTACACCATTAGAGGAAATGTCAGATCTATGACAGAAACTAGAAAATGTTTTCTTCAGTTTATATATATAAGACATTATCAACAGAAGAAATTGAGTAATAATAGTAAAAATCAGTTAACAAAAAACTTTTAAAAATGAGTAAACCATATTACTTTTAATCGCTTGCATCCTATCACTCAGGATAGATATACAAGACACATACTACTGAATTGATGTATAAAAGTAGATGTTATATCTATCTTTGGTATGTGAAGCAATGTGCTAGTGCACTTGTATTAGCTAATCATTTTTGTTTAAATGTTGCTTTATGAGAGAAAGAAAACAAGTACAATTAAAATAATGTGTATAGTAAATATGTATGTATGTAAATAATAATATTTATATAAATATGTTTATAGAAAAGAATGAAATTAAAAACTAAAAATAAGTATACATCATAAATGGGTGTTTATTCAATGACTAAAAGAAAATTCACCTCTAATAATTAGTAAGCTAAAAGTGTAAAACATAACATTGTCGATTTTTTATAAACAAAAATATTAGAATATATATATATATATATATATATATATATATATATATATACTGATAATGGTCTAATTAACTATCATCAATACCAACTCATTTATTGGACAGTAATGGTAAAAATAATAATGACATATAATGCATAAAGAGAGATCGAGGTACCATACATGCGTTGATCAACTAGATAAAAAAAACGTCAAATCAAACTAAAAGGATAACCAACAGAAACAATCATCAAATGATCACAAATAGAACATGAAAACAAAATTAGATAGGTAGATTAATGAAAGAAATGAACAAAACAAAAGGATATTACATTATTATTATTACTAAGAGTAACACAATAAAGTTAACAAAACAGACAAGTAGAAGTGAATAGAATTTAAAGATATCAAATAAAACTTAAAAAAGAAAAACAAGATCACAATTCAATTAAACACGAAATGAACTAACATGAGAGAAAATTATCCACACACAAAGAGATAAGAATTCAGAAGAGGAAACTAAACTAAGAATGAATCACAGTTTTTAAAAAAAAAACAATTTCACCTTCTTAGGAATCCAACAAGTAAACAACGAGATAAAAATATAATAGTAAGAAGAGGAAACACACTTTTCAAGCTAACTAGTTGATGAAAAGGATGAGTAGTTAGTGATGAGAATAATAGTAACAAGAAATAATAGTACCAAAGTATGCAATTTGTGTGTCTTCTGCATTTACTTAGGTCGTTTATAAGATATATTATATGAGTGCTTTTATATATATAATTAACTGAGGAACAAATCATCAGCATTCAGTAAATGAGAAATCACAGACTAGGAAATGGCAACAAAAAAGCAGACTGATATTTTAATGGAAAAGATTTTCAAAAACACCAACTTAGACAGGCCGTGCGCAAAAATGTTTTAACTCAGTGGTCACTCTTTAATCAAATGAATCCACTTTTGTCAGTGGAATTTATTGATTGATTATAATTGTAGGTGTTGGATAGCTGACATAAAAAGGATTTAAACCGGCAAAATATCTAAGAGAAAAACCAAAAAAAGGAAAGCACCAAATGATTGAAACAAGAACAAGAGAATATGACAGGTTGAAGACAATGAAAGTAAGAGGTCGAGATCAGAAGAAACATTTCCAATTTGTATGAAATAAGCATACTGAAAGATATAACAAGCTAGCAAATAATAACACACTTGTATGCGTCTACCATCGATAAAGTGCAGGACGAGGACGTTCTGCTCCTTCTTTGACTAGAGGTTTATGATATTCACGACCATAACGACTGTGTATCTGTACCCAACACTGTTCACAATAATATTGAAGGCAAGTAACATTAGCACAAAAAAATGGGGCAAATTTACCCCCACAACGAGTACCTTGACATTCATCACACATTTGATTATCCAAGACATATGGTTTAACTTCAACCTAAAATAAAAATATAATACAGTAAGAAAAAGCATATACGTTGAAGAGGGGAGTTTCACGCGCTTGAACAAAAATAACCTACGAATTTCAGAAGCTGGCATTAATGGTGATTTACCACATGTAGAACGAGACCCAAGCATCTCTGTCAGTGTTGGTTCATAACTTCATCGACTAAATGATCCTGCTGTTTACAACTCTACAAGTAGCTTTAAAATTGTTTAATCGAGATTTCCACCATACACCACACTTATGGTCAAATAATTTTATTGATTTTTTAAATTAAAAATACTATCCAACCGTTATAAATACGAATCAGATAACGCTATTCAAAGTGGCTATCTAAAGAAGTAACTCTAATCGATGTGAAACAATCTGTTTCGAAAAAGCACCAAATATAATCAACAGAAGTAATAAAGATGATCAAAGTGAACAGCCATCTAGTACAACAATATTTTTAAAAACCAACTATGATAAACGAGGATAAACGCAAAAGAAAAGAATAAGATGTACAGCTTCAATCTTTAGTTATCTAACGTGGGGCAACAGTCATCGATTAGCTAACTATATGATCAATGCATGAAATGAGTGAAAAAGTTATAAATTGTCATTTTGTTATCAAAAAAGAGCATCACACATATGTTTGAACATAACCCTCATTTATAAACAACATAACTCTTTTCCCACTTAGCTGGATTATTTTAATCTATCCTAATTTTCTTACGAAAAAGAAAAACACCTGAAAAAAGTATTCACATAGAAAAACAACAGAAGAAAGAACTTAATAGAAAGTAGGGCTACGTCTAGATTCCAGACGAACACCCACGCATTCTCCATTCAAATAAATTTGCCAACCATACATCTATTTATAAATGCTGCTTAGATTCAATGAAAAGAAATCAATAGGATTGGATAACCAAGAAACGGAGGAATAGAACTAGTCAGTAGGAAAATTCCAATCAATAGAAACAGTCTGACCACACTAGGAGGGAAGGGGAAACTGCTAGTTTACGGTGTTAGATACGAAAACGAAAAAGGGAACGATAAATGGAAACTAACGTAGAGTTAACTATTTATAAAATTATCGTTAGAGAATGAATCATTGCCAATCAATAATTGTTATTTTCGTGATCATTCTTATTACGTTGTTGAAATAAACAGAAACAACAATGATAATTAAACTACTATTTACAATAGTCTCCAAACGGCAAAAAACAAGCAGAGATGATTTGCCAATAACTAGAATGAGATGAAAAATTCAAATTAATACACAGCTAAAACTCTGCCACTTCTTCTTTTCATTATTAACTATTACTACTATGATGATAAATGATTGGATGGGGTACGTAGAATTCTAGTAATTAACAGCTAGTCAATAGTCGATTTTGAGATACTTCTGCTGTATGCGTGTGGGCACTACTTAGTTTTAATCATAATAACAGTCAAACTCTTCTGCAATTCACGCTGACAAATGAGTATGCCATCAATAGATCAATAGGTTTGTATTGAAAAAAACCCTTACACAAAGTTAATTCAACATGAAAACTATCTTAAATGGCCCGTAATCAAAACAAATCTTCTGGAAAAAGATACAGTACTATTAACAATCCTGAATAAAATTGTAGGCAAAGGTTTAAATTATATATATATATATATATATATATATATATATATATATATATATATATAATTCCATAAACTTACTCGTTTATCAATTTCATTATGCTGTAATTGCACAAATCGTGCACTAATTGCAGCGATGTAACTTTGTTGATTTGAGAAAGCGACACGACCAGCACCTTTAGGATATTTCAATTCTGGATCTGTATCTATGCCAGCATAACAAACACCTCCATATAAGCGATCCATTATTAGGGCAAGTTCGACTATTTAAAAGTGAAAGCAAAACCTCTGAATAAACGAAAAATAACCATCATGGAACAAAATTGGGTTTAAACGAACAGGCTACTTTCATTCGGATATACATAGCACTTCTCACCTTACTAGTACGACGAATCTAAACTCCCAACTTCATAAATGGAGATTTAAATATTATATTAACAGCACGATCTATCAATAAAAATTTAGAGTCAAGACTTCTCAAAGAATCTGAAGTCTTTGCACCTAAACCATTGTACATGATTCACTTTAAACGTGACGCACATTCCGATATTTTCAAAGGAAAAATATAAAACATCATCAAAAGAACACACTTTGCAGCAACTATCAGAATAATGTTCTCTAGTTAATCTACTGACAACTCAAAGGAAAATTAATAGAATTTAACCTCTTCAACGTCCATCTACCACTGCTCATGTTCCTGTCGATTAAGGTGCAAAAGTCGTTGATTGAGCGATTCAACCAACAGGAACATTAACTCTATTGGCAAGCAGGGTAACAGTGTTTGTATCAGAAGAACGATTGTAGGAAACCTTACAAGCGACCATATGATCAAGGCAGACTCGTCAATCCAAGTTCTCCACAGGAAAACCAGAAACATACGAAAAGCAGTATCTTTGCTTCCTCAATGTATTACTAAATTCGTCTCTATACACAGCAAAACCAGTATCATATGTACAAAAGAAACTTATCTAACCTATTTACTTTCTGTGAACTTAACCTAAAAATTTTAACTAATTGAATCCCTATTCCGTTTTGCTGACTTCTAGTTTTATTTTTATTTTGCAAAAAAATCTATCAAATCATTCTTTCCACCGCACGGTTGGACCCTTAACTCATACAGACTTACTGTTGTTTTGATGTTGTTTTAGAATAGGATTCCTTTTCAAAATTTATCTTACTATATTAAGCAACCACAATTCTTTCTCTAAATTTTATGACATTCTTAACTCACTTTTGATTCAATCCCTTAATATGGATAATAATCTTAATGTTTATTTTACTTCCATTATATATATATATATATATATATATATATATATATATATATATATATGAACAACTCTGAGAAGGAAACTGCCGACCATATATATCTTCACTGAACTATACTCTTGTTTCCAAAACGAAACTGGTAGATAACCACAAAAAGAAAATGCAGATATTGACAATGATGTTTTTTCTAGGATGATGTCAATACATGAGCCTTCACTTCATTTGTTTAAATCTACACTACAAACTTTACTTTCGGAAACTTGCCATTTACACTATATTTTACAAAAAGAGAGGTATAAATTGTAGGATCGCTCAAAGATTATGACGTACAAGCTAAAATAAATGTTAAGGCTTGATTATCTCAGTATTTGACATTTAGATTATAAATACTCTATAACTTTCATTCAAGACAGATACTTATCAAAGAGCTAGACACTTTGAAATGAAACAAATCAAGTGATTATTTAACTGACTTTAAAACTGAGAGTCAATTTTTAATTACTAGGATATACAAAAATAAATGAATGAACGCAACAACATTGTCACATACAAAAATTGAAATTATTCGAAGCTAATTAGTTATCGTAAATATTGAACACTGTAAAAACTTTAAACTACTGAAAACAGTAAAAAATTATTGTGGGTTGAATTTATGCTTACTTCATTAAACAGAACTATGCGAGTATAAATGAGGGTTAGCAAAAAGCAATAAAATTTAATTGCTTGTTTTTTGTAGGAAGCTAAAGAAGACCGAAAACCGAAATGTTTAAACGCATTGTTTTGATGGATAGTGATTAAAAGCAACCAATTTTCAACCACTAAATTGCATATTGAAATAACTGTCTTAACTACTCTAGTCAAGGCAACCAGCTCGAACATAAAAATATGCCACTCGTATCCAAGTATATTAAACGAGACATGGTTGTTGGAATATATTTCTACATAATATTTATTGTAGTGAATAATTATCTCCGAAATTTTTTCCCTTGTTTTCACGATGAAACCAGTACTCCTCTCTTTTTATTTGTTCTTCGGTAATTATTTTCCAGACTTAACTAAAAACAAGTTTTCATGTACAAAGAATAGTTGCCTGGTTTTATCTATAATCAACGTACTGGTATTTTATTTCGGAGTTGAAGATTAACACAGTTAATATGTAGTAACCCAATCGTGATTTGATTAACAATTGATAGATTAGAAACATATAGTGTAAAAGATTTCAGCAACATTATAACTTGGTTAAAGATAATATATATATGAGGATGTATCCTTAGGGAATTAGAAATAACGTATATTTTCTCTTTGTTCAGATTACTTCCATATAGTCAGTTGGATAAAAAATAATAATGAATTAAATACTGTATAAAAGATAATGACTAAGCTTCTTGTTTGAAAAAAAAACGAAAAAACTGTTTTAAGGTCAAAAAGAGAAAGGAAGAAAAGTAAACTTCTGTCTACAAGTAAGGTCATTTTCAGGTCATGCCAAAAATAGGAGGGGATTTGAAACTGTTCACAGAGACAAGACAAGTGAGGAGAAAGAAATCCATCCAATAGGCAGATAATCATGTAGGCTGGGACGGAAACGAATATATATATATGGAAAATTATTATTAACAATGAAGTTTCAAAGTGACTGAATGCAGTTGGATGAATGGTAAATCGATATATGAAAATATCCTTTTTATAAACAAACAAGAAAAGGAGTTTTCGTTTTTTCTTTCACCTTAATTTTAATAAATATGGGTCAAATATAACTAAAATATTTTATATTAATTAGTTTCTTAAAATTTTAAAATATTTATTTCGGTTTCCATTTAGGAAATATATTAATACTATATTGTATGAAATTTAGAAGACTTTATTAGTTAATTTAATAAATCATTTTAAGGAAAAGATTACAGTGTTTTTGGTTGTATAATAATTATAATATTGTCAAAAGTGACAGACCTATTTAAATGCACTTTGCCATAGAAATGCAAAAACTGGATCAGAAAATAAGTAGGCTACAAGTAGTTACCATAGATTTAGAGTGCATTAATTTTATCCGTTTCGTAAAATGCTATTTACTTCAGGTAATACTTTTGTGCTACCTCGGTCTCCATTATTGAGACCTTGGAAGTCAGTTGCATATAGTTTCGCGGTTTAATTTTTCAATATTTTTGTTTCAATCATATGCACTTCTCATAAGGAATCATTTGGACAGTAAGCTGGTGATCAGAAAACATCAGAGATCGCATACATTCGACGATTTCACCAACACAAAGTCAACGGTCGTCTATGACTTACAACATCCCTTTCGTCCTCATTGAAATGCTTGATTCACTTGAAAACTGATGTTTCTTTTAATACGTTACTTCCCTATACAACTCTAAGCATAAAATGAATTTCTTGATTTTTGTTTACCAAGTGCCTCAATTAGCAAACTTACTGGACGGATCATTAATTGTCAGTTATTATGTTCATTGGATAACCAGTAGAATTGATATCCCATGTATTCATTACGTTACTCCTTATGAACATCGATATTAGTATCATTCATATTAACCTACTCGTTAAATAAGTAATGAATGTTTTCTGAACGAAAAATATTTTTTGTATAACAAGAACAAGTTTACAATGGATTTGTTTCTGTACATGGTTTTTGTTTCTAGTTTACTTTCTGTCTATAAGTTCACATGATGATTCCCGCTAAAAATCTGAATTTGTACACTTTTAGATCACTATAGACAGTCAACTCTTTATCAACTCACCTAATAGATAATTGTCATAGTAAAATGTGTAAGGCATGGGACTGTGTATGCGGTTACAAAGTCTAAGAAATTATATAAATTAAAATGTGACTCAGTTTTCGAGTAAAAAATTGCACACTTGGGCAAGGCTCTTTGTGGACTTGTAGGAGGAGAATAATTAGAACATGGTTGGCCTACATATAGATTCTTCTGTCGGTTTTATCTAAAAATCCAAAATGCGTTTAGACGTTTATACAACTATGATTCACTGCAATATATGTAATTTGAATAACTTATGTGAATATTTGATACGGATATGAAAATGTTAGTTTGATATTGTGTATATGCACAAAAAAGACAGACTGATTGGTGAATAGACAAACTTAATGAATTTTTGTTAATTCAATACTGTCTACTACGAGTCACTTCGAAAAAGAATAGGGAACGAAACAATCAATGAAATTATTTTCATAGTTGATATTGTGTAGAGATTTGTACAATCTGAAGATTGATTATGTCACAGATTGATAGCAGCTAGAGAATCAATAAAAACAAACAATAGTTGTCCTTGGTTTCGTAGTTCCCTTCAATTAGTGGTAGTTATTTAGTGAACACTACACATATAAGAATTACTCGTTGAAGATAGCTTTTTAAAACTCAAATGGATAAAATGTGATTTTTATGAAGTATACATGTGGAAAGTTCATAGATAAAAGGAATATCCGGTTGACACACAGTTGAAACAAGCTAGAAACCATATTTTTCATATTATAATAATGGTAATTAGTAAGAAATATCTATCACACTTTGATAAGATTATATTGTCAACTCATTGGTTAACTTACTAGCTCTAAGTGGACGTGGAACACCTCCAACAAAAATTGTTTTACGAGGATCTAATGGTTGTGAACCATCCATGACAAAATCGGAGTCCGCTAAGTTCCATGGTCGAATTTGAACCTAAGATTTTTTCAAAAAGAGCTTACAAATAAAACAGCAAACAATTTGAACAATTAAAAAGTAACTCTACTCTTGTTTACTTGATATTATCAAACATGCAGTTTCATAAATTGAATAACAAAGTTGTAGAAAACAATGAGCAGAGAAATAATCATACATATTGAAGTCGAAACTATCAAAAAGTTAGGGCCGAGTTAAAGATCTCACATTGATTGAACCTTGTTTAAAATAAGGAGGTTAATTGCTTGACAGCATGAAATACTAGAAGCTAGCAATGTCGGTTGGAAAGTTTAATGGTTAAGAGAATAAAACGCAAACGCTGAAATAGCGAGTACAAGCGTAATTAAAAGAACTGAAAACATAAAGTTGAGTGTTTCAGATCAACCAGATCAATAGCATGATTCATAAGGTACCTTTGACAACTCCCTTTTGGAAAATAAACGTATTCTGGTAATATTGATAAAGAATTACCGAAAACGCTAACAAGAGTTGAGTTACCATTAGAATCACTAGTTTGGAAAATTGAACGTAACAGCAGAGAACTGATGCGAAATTCAATTGAACAAGATTGATGCAAAACTGTGATGTTTCATGAAACAGAAAAATTTGTTTGTTTAAGTGAACTGGTGAAGACTACTTAATAGACAACTGTAAACAGGCACTTGTTTTCTAGGGGTCCGCGTGATTATTGTAACTAGTGATTAGAGACTTTAAATGACGGCTCAAAATCATTTGCAATGGCGCAGATGCATCCATTTTTTGTCTTCCTCCAGATTCTGAGCTTCTGAATCTCTCATAACTTTATTTCACTATTTGCATTTTCTTCTTGAATAGTATCTTCGATCTCTAATCTCTTCAGTTACAACTGATAATGTTACTATCTCTACTATTTTAGGATTTGGCCAGAAATTTCATCTTTCTGTGCGAATGGGGTAGGACACCTTGAACTAACGTACATACGTAGCAGGTTTTGCGTTGCAACTGACTTGTTTGTTCAAGAAACGTATAACCAATCTATCTCTAAACAACTAACCACAATACAATCTTTCTATTCAGAAATAACACATAGACATATCCAACTTGATGCAAATTAGAAGGAAACGATGAATTTGTTTAGATCTATTTGATACGAGAAGTAGATTAAATCCAATAACCTTATTGATTGGACTGATTAATTGTTAGATTTTGGATTCCTTGTACTAATGCCGTAAGGTGAAAATTTCACAACCACACCTTCCCTTAACAATTGGAAATATTAGTTACTGGAACCAAGTAGAATGGCTTAACCATAAAATAGTATATCAAGGAACTAAAGATTTTGACTAGGTAGTTCAGAGAAGTGAGTGAATCATACTAATGATTTTGACAACAACGTAGAAAAAATATGTCTAGGAAGTTGATTCTCAATGTTTGATTTTCTTTGACAGCGCGATACGATAAAGATTATTTCCAAATTCCGTGGAATCTCAAAAACCAACTTACGTCTGAGGTTTTAAACCAACAGAATATTTTGCTGTGAAAAGAATGTATGCAACAATAAAATATGTAATTTGACTAGACATCTCTTGTCATACATAGTTTTAGATAAAACAGCATGAAGTAAACCATACTAGAGACACTATTTTTCGACCTGGATATAATATGGTGTATGCTACTTATGTTGATAAGCATAAGTAGTATGTAACACCAATCAGAAGTGAAATGCTTGGCAGAAGGTTGAGAAGATCGAATTGAAGAGAACAGGAATGTAGACAGAGAGTAAATACAATAACAGGAATGAACGAACGATACAGTTTGTAAGAGACAATTGATGGAAGATGTGAAAATAAAGTACTTAATGTATGGTATTTATATTTTATGAAGACATTGTAATTTTATACTAAACAATTAATTGGTTTTCCGCACCTAAGTCCTCGTTTAATATAATAGTACTTTAGATGAAAAGTGAAGGTTACGTCATGAAGTTAACCACTTCAGATAGATTTCAAAACCGAAAATAAAAGGATTTTCACGTCACAAAGAGATAGGGTTAAAACTCGAATAGCTTAGACAAGTTTACTGAAGAATTCGACTCAATTAATGTATCTACGACGAATCGAATGACGCATATGTCGAAGAGTATACAGTACTAAATAAAATAGCTACCAATTCTACTGATATCCTTAGTTTCGGCACACGCACCACACAAATAAAAGTAATCTTTAGTGCACTTCGTACATCTTAACTTCTAAAAAAAATTATCCATGAAGACAAAATTCAACGGGTTTTACGGATTATTTTTAGATACAGTAACTCCAATGTATCTAACCAAGTTACTTCACTTATGCGCATACATATACCATACTGATAGACTGTAGATCTTTAATAGTCATTAAACTATGAGAATCCACTAAAGATCTTTTGAACAAGTAATAAAAACATGTGGACAATCTATCCCCAGATTTCGACTGGCAAACAAATAATTAGAGAAAATACAGATGACAAAAAAATGAATCGGTTGGTCGGTAAGCATTTATGACTATGATTATCGAGCCGTACATTGTCAAATCAAGCTATTGAGGAATTGTGAAACTAAAAAACACATGAAAAGTGACTAGCATTTGATCATATTCGTCTTCGAAACACTGTTCGTGGATGACGAAACAACTGTGTAACCGAACGAACAAAGTTCAGATAATATGTATCTCTATGAGAACTTACGGGTTTATCTTTCATCGTAGGTGATGATACGCACCAATAGTATTTTCCTTCATCAACAATACAAGCATTAATAAGACTTTGAACAGATCGTTCATCTTGGAATAGCAGAAAACAATAGCCTAAACAAACAGAAATTTAGAATAAACACGTAATCTGTGAAGGTAGTACTGATACACTAGTATTAATGAATTGTTCTTTAATGGTATAGGTCTACGGATCGAAATCCAGCAAGTAGTACAGGTTAGTGTACAGAACTATGAAAATCAACGAATATGAAGCGGGGTCTTTATTTCACGAACCTAAAATGATTGAGTTAATTTTTTTAATCAATGAGAGCTAGTTTTATCTAGAAAAAAATCAATAATTAGTGTAAACTAGTTAGTTCACTCTACGCCAATGAATGATGTAGATTCTAATCACTGACTTCAGGGATGTGATAATTTATGTTCATAAGGACTAAGAGTAACAAACCGTAACATGTCATCAAAGTGAAACGACACTTTACTGAATCCCATTTACATGGATTGTGACTTATTTGGAAAGACTGAATATATAGCTTCAAAGGTATTACTTAAAATGTAACGTTTATTTTCTCTTCAAATATTGATTTTACGTGCGATAAACAATGCGTCTACCAATTTCTTAGCTAATTAGAATTGATTGAAATCTTACTAAGGAATAAGATATTTTTGTCTGAGACCAAGATTACAACGACCCAAAAGCTTGAAGAGTTATTCATGATAGTTATTAGTCTTTCATTAAATAATGACTAATTAAATCCCTGGGAACTACTATTCTCAAACTTTAAATGAAGTTTTTTTAAAGGAGAGGAAAAAGGATGAGGCACACCTTACCTTTTGGTGGAAAATATGCCTTACTTTCAGTTTTATGGGGCCAATCAACTATTAAAGGGCCAAATCGACGAAAAGCAGTAGTTATTTCCTCTAAAAGAGAATCGAAAAATTTTTTTATTAATGAGTTAATAGCGATGTAGGATGACAACCAGGGTAAAGATAGTTTTGTATAACTAAGAGGAAATTACCGATACTACTGTTAGAAATTATTTATTATTGGAAATCAACTTACAGCAATGCACAAACACTATAGTTAATCCACTTTGCGATCTTTCGTGGATGTCGATCCATGACTTTATAAATAACTGATGACTAGATAATTTTACCGTTTTGAATATGTTTGGAAACTGTGTCAAAATTAATGTGAATAATCCAGTTTATCATACAACTACGTAGTATATACGGCCAAGACAATTAAAATAGTAGATACTTTAAAATCAATTAACTATTGTACATTGACTCAACTGGTAATTTTTTATCTTACTTTAGTTCTTCACCTTGAAGATAATGCTTGGTATCAGTTACATGGACATGTACCTGCTTCGTCGTTCAGCTAAAGTAATCTCTAAGCCTCCACAATCTTAGTGCTTGAACTATATTACTCGCGCTAAGTTGAGCGAAAAATTTGAAGTACTGACATTTTTTTAAAAATGCTGTTTTCTTTAGGGCCCATCTTTGAGCATTCTGAAACTCTACACATCAGACCAAACAAAAGGTATTTTTGACTTGATCGAAGTTCAACGCAGTTGTGTGATCAAGTAACATAATAATGACCCCAAAGATTCTTAATACCAGTAAATAAAGTGCTTTGTAAGTGTACATACACAGCGAATTTCTTGATGTATTCAAAAGATTGATTCAACGGTTTATGACTTAATATTTATACTAATGTTCTTAAGGATAAATAAGTTTAAAGATGTTTCATTGCACACAAACATTTCCCCGACTAGTACTATTACTATATTCAGTCATTAATCGTCTTCTTCCTCATTCAGTTAGCAAATAGAACATACATCGATTAATTCAGTAGGAATTCAACTGTTTGAAACCTAAAATCCTTTCCTTAAACTTTGCCATGTTCACCAAATATATATAGAATTATAATTGTGGTTTAGTGTATAGCACTGAATAGAGTCTATGTGTAGTGGTCACACGCACGCTTTCACAGGAAATCACTTTGATACTGAAGGAGTTTGGTAATTAAATTCAACGAGGCGTCCCTAGACAAACGGTTAAGACATCGTCGTCGAGATGCTATACTACAACCAGTGACTAATTACATATTCGTTCAAGAAAACGCTTAAACCTATAAACTATATAAATGTTGAAATAATAAGTTCCCTTTAACCTCTAATCAAGTAATCAAAATACCCAACTTTCCCAACAGTTAACTTGTAAGATGAATTTTAGCCCTTTAAACTGACTTAACCAGCCTTACAATTCTTCAGAAAGTGCTATTATACATAATAGTCAGTTACAAACGACAATATTAACGGTCAAATAACTCAATTAGAATTTTTGTTTTTCAGGACCCCAATGCACAATAAATTTTCGCATTATCAATCCATCACAAAATAACAATCTCCCAAAACAGTCATAATAAATAGGAGTTACATCGAACAAAATCATCTACGATTCGTGTCTTTGGTACTGATAAAATAAATTCACATAAAGCGCCAAGTAGATGGAATCCACAGACTTTACCATCCTAAAAAGCTGATGTTCTGTATAAATTCAATGATATTGTGAGTGAACGAAGCAGCAATGACTGCCGGATTCAATAAACAGGTCGGTAGTGTTTTGGTGTTAAAAACAATGATTGCACTTTTCTTCAAACATCTCAAAAATCTTCACTATACATATATCTTGGAATCAATGTTTAAATTAGTGATCGAGAGTAACTATAATTGATATCTTTATTCATTTACTTTCGACTATCTACTCTTGATATTCTAGTTGTGTGGTAAAATAAGAGAAAACAACTTGATGTTTAAAATATAGGAAAAAATGGCCGGTTACAGAATAAAGTCTGAGTATATAAACCATGAGACTACAATCTAAATATTAAACTAGTAGCTGGCAATCGATATTAGACCATCCATGAAGTGAAAGAAGCAAATGTCTAGAAATTACTCTTAAAATAATAAACAAGTCAAAGCTGAATAGTTAAGGCTTTGGGTATTAAACTAGTATCTAGGATACCAGTAAAGGTGTTTGAGACTAGGAAGGATCGAAGGAAATCAAAGAATCCATATCGTAATGCGTCATTACCTCCTTAATAAGGTTTGCATCTTAACTAAGAAAAAAAGCTTGTACTTCGACTGATTACAAAAAATAATAGTGGCAGCACTCACCGGCCACACAAGCTTATTTGCCGAAATATAGACAAGGATTTTTGAGTTAATGGTAATCCCCAACAATCTCTTCCCCCATCAAGTGGTTGTTTGAATTTGGATGAAATTAAAGTACCTAAGCTAATGAGCAACAGCAACTACGCATCTAATTAATATATACAAAGCCATATCAAAAAGTAAGCTATGTATGATAAAGAATATAAACTTTTACATGAATAATCTACTGAACAGTCTCCTATTATTTGAACCAAGCTATAAGTCAGTAACAACGTAAAACTTCGTAAGTATGTACATCAGTTCGAGTTGCCATACTAAGCTGTGGCGAACATAATAAAGTAATTTACATCAATAACCTACGAAAAGCAAAAAATTACAGCTCATACATATTGACATACCTTCGTCTATATCAGGTGGGAGACCTCCAACGAATACTTTGCGTGAAAATCCTTCTTCACGAGTAAAAATATTTGCAAACATAGAATATGGGCTTGTTATTGCAGCTGAACCCATCATTGAACTCCCGTTGTAGCTAGAAAGACTATTAAAACCTGAACTTGGGTTATTTGAACCATTTATCATAGGTGTTGAGTTGTGTATCGACGATGAGCCTAAGACAGGCATTTGGCTTGCAGAATTCAAACCAGGTATTTGTTGGTCTACCTCTCCAAAATTAGATGACAATGTTAAATCATCGATCCCTCCCATAGATGTGGTATTTGCATTCGAAGGAACTAAATTAGAACCTCCAATGCTACTGATTTCAAAAGATTTGATAACTTCCATAAGCTGTTGATCTAACCCGTATTTGAAACTATCTAAGGAACTTTCCGACGTTGGGCTGTTGAATGACAAGGTATTTGTGAAGGAGTCTCCAGAAGAACACAGAACTAGTGAACTATTTGCAGACGATGATGACCCAACACTGTTTAGCGACTGCATGATAGAGTGGTTATTCAAGCTTCCAGCACTATTATTTACACCGGAATCCTCACAACCATTCGGTAGAGCTGAGAGAGTGGAATTAACTCCAGTTAAACTACCACGATTACCATTTAGTTGAATACTACTTGTGACAATGTTCATAAGACCTTTACCTAATGGTACTTGCTGTGAATTTTGATGGTGTTGTTGCTGTTGCTGCCAATGTGCCATCATTCGGTGTTGGGGGCGCTTAGGAAACATACTATATATATTTGAAAGACCTGCCTCGTTTACTTTATTGTTACTGGTAATACTGACGCCGGTTGTAGATACTGATACAAGACCCACGGACACAGCTGTCCGATTTAAGGAACCGTTAGCCATTCCACTACCAAAACCCACAGGTCCGACCATATTTGGAATGTTCTGGACGTTTGGTTTGTGAAGTGTTTGATGAACTGACGAATTTTGAGACCACGAAACCGTATTACCTTCATTTCCAGGAAAATCACAAACTGTAGGAGGATTCGAATCAGTGACAAGACTACTACCCAACTTTGCTGAAACACCGGTGCCGTTGCTGCTCCATGCATTGGAAACCATGTATCCAAGTGCAGAGTTTGACAGCCCATTAGAATTACTCGACCACATACCTCCTTTATTAACTGCAGGGTAACGTGCAGTTTGATGAGCTCCTGTGATCGGGCGCTTAGCTGCAACAGTCGCAGTAGTAGGAGTGTTACTGTGAACAGTGGGGAAAATGTTACTACAATGACCATCATTTAAAACACTATCTTGATCTATTTCTGTGTTAGACATAAGAGACGTAATTGTGTCCCCGGCAAATGAAAAGCTATGGTCTGCAGAAGTAACTCCTACACAATTCCGGTGGTTCCATAAATTACTTGGTACTCCGAATTCAGTTGAAATGTCTAAACTGTCCGACTCAGCTTGAATACACTTCGTGTCGCTTTTTTGATTAATACCTGGAAGCGTATCAGTTGTAACACCAGATTCTAATGCTGCTCTCATTAAACGATAATCTGTACTGAGATTATTGGCACGCAAGCAAGTAGGATCTGTTAACTGGTCAACAATAGAAGTCAAATTATGTGTTTTGTTTAGTTTATTTCGATATTCTGATTCGCACAATTGTCCATCAAGGCGACCATACGCAATTTTCCCGAAATCAACTACATCTGACGCCGATGAGGTCTTATCCAAATGTTCTGAGTTTGATTTTATTAAAGACAGAAAATGGCTTCTGTTCAGATCATCAGAGCTAGTTACACAAGAACTAGTCAATTGTGATCCAAGAGACAGTGAGTCACAAACTTCTGTTAAAGGTGTAGATACTTGACATCCCTGACAGGACACTGGTGTTAAAATTATGCCAGAGCTATTTGGGGGATTACGGGATAAGTCACGATCTTTTCGAGTGTTCTCAAAAGTTTCAGGTGTAGTGTTACTTCCCATTCCAATATCAGAAAGATGATCGAGATCAGAGCGTACGACTTCTGACATTCGAGAAACGGTCGTATTATACAAGGAAAGGTCTGAGGAAGTGAGGTGGTCTGCACTTTGGAGAGCTGGTCTACATGATGGTGACTTCAGAAAGCTTTTTTGAACGGTAGAATTTCTTACCAGTTCGATTTCCCCATTCATCTGTGAGAAAGAAAAATTTATTCAACTATCGTGACCACTTGACTTAATATAACACTTATAATATAACAACAAAATGCATTTTATTTAAATTACAAAACTACAAAACCAAGAATTACCGCTACTGGCACGTATCCAAAGTCTTAGCGGCAGGGCAAGTAACGAATTGCCCCTAGCGATGAAGCACTTAAACAAGCGTTGTCCAAAGAGCAACATTTAATAAGTTACTTAGGAAAGTCTCGCTCCTTGTCATTTTCAAAATTGTAGTGTTTATCTATGTCAAAATATATTGAGGTTTATCGAAAGGTGGTTTCAATTCTTCAATTCCTTAACTTCAAGACTCGAGTAACCGCTACAAACTTGTTCAGTCTTCAGTCTTCAGTAATAAGGATAGGAAGTCTATCGACCCATATTAATCCTTGCAGTTTGTGATACGGCGGACGTCCGATCTCGTTTTGAATATATTAACAGAGGGTGCTGATATTACGTGTTCCAGTAGAGAATTCCGGTAATTCACTACTCGGTGCGAGAAGCGAAACTCCAGACGTAAATGATTTGATCTCGGTTTTCGGAATTTCTTGGAGTGTTCTCTCAAATAATCAGTTCTAGACGGAAGTAAGAGGTAAGATATGTAAGTACCAAAGTCATCGTTCAGTATACGATAAGCCAATAATAGATCACCCCGTACTCCACGGTAAGATAACGGAAATAAGTTAAGGTGTCTCAGTCTGTCTTCATAATATAGGCCAAACAGACCTTGTACCATCTTAGTACCTCGTCGTTGGACTCTTTCCACCATATCTCCTTCATACTTCAAACAAGGACTCGCTGCTTGAATCCCATATTTTAAATGTGGTTACACATAAATCGGGTATAATAATCTAAAAATTTCATCATCTAAATACTGGAAAGACCTACGAACAGACCATAACACTCTATTGTCTTTCGCAGCAGTAGCCTTACAGTGATTAGTGGTTATGAGATCACTGCCCATTATGACTCTTAAATCTTTATAGTTTCTTACTTTGGGTAGCACGAATCCACATATTGTATGGCGATACGATTCATCATAGTTATTTATTTGCATAACTACACTCTTATTAAGATTTACTTCTAGTGACCACCTATCCAAACATGACACCAATGAACTAAGATCATTCTGTAATACTATCGTATCCGACATACTGTGTATGGGTCATTAAACTCATATGTCATCAGCGAAGAGTAGAACGGATGGTTTTGCTATAGTTGGTAATTCATTTGCATAAAGTAAAAAGAGGAGAGGACCGAGGATTGCACCTTATGGAACCCCACTTTCTACAGGCGCCCACGAGAAGAGAGCCTCATTTACCCTTACCCTTTGTCTCCTGTCATGGGGGAAGTTACTTATCCAATCTACGAGTGTATAACGAATTCCAAAACGTTCCAGCTTGAATTGAAGACCAGAGTGGGAAACTTTATCAAAGGCCTTACTTAGATCTACGAAGATCACATCCACAGAAATATTCCGATCGTTGCTTCTCCGATCCTAGGATTACCTTAAGAATTCTGCATGGTCGGGGTTTAACATTGTCCTCAGTCCTCTTGCCTATTCTAACCAGTTTTTGGACCTGAACTCCTTTAGAGTTATCTGGTAAGACACGACGTATATATTCTCCCAGCTTCTTTAAATCATGCGTGTTTAATTTTGGGATCAGGGTCGTTTGACTGCAGCAATTTGCTCACAATAATATTCGATGATATTAGATTCTTCTTCTCAGTCACGCCAGGGTGGGTTTCTCTCTTACTATCAGATTTTGGTGGTGCATTTTTTGACTCACAGTGAGAGTCCACCAGTGACTTACTAATCACCTGCGTACTGCCTACAGCCTTTTTCTTTTCATCTCTTTTTTTCCGTACTGTAGTCCATTTTTCATCCCTCAGGAAACTGTGACTATTTGGAGCAGTGACGGTTTTATCCAGATCTTCAGCTTCCACTGGGGGTGGATGGTTATCAATGTCAGTATCAGATGATATTACCCCCGTCGTTAATGTTAACGGAGTTTTCACTTTTCCGTCAGTCAGAGTCGGTTGTTTTAGGCGTCTCGTAACAGCACGTACTGCACTGACACATTCGTCACTGTCAGTGCTCTTGCTATCAGCGCATGCGCCACCGTCCTTCTTACAGGCCAAAGCCAATAGGCTCATAGCCTTCTGTAGTATTAGCGTCTTATTTGCACAGCAAAACATGCAAAGCCAGTGTGAGTTAGGCTTTTAACATCTTTTGTATGCGGTAGAACTTAAACAGGTGCACATCTTATGGAACCACTTTTTGCATTCATCATACTACATTCCTTCACAGGAAACAAACAGTTTGGTTGTCCACACTTGTGAGTACTACCAACCATTCTAGTCAGATTAAGGTATAAAACACAGTGTGATCACAGTATTAACACAGTGTCAGTCAACGAGCAAAGGGTGCCACGAGACAAACTTTAGCAACATTTTGAACCTTAACCAAAGTACTTTGATTTAGACCAAGAATGCTTTTGATGCAATAATTACACAAAAGCGAGGATAATCATAAAAAGTGCAAAATCACTGCCCTTTTGAAACACCGACGACAGACTAATATGGACGCAGAAACGATACTGTAATCGAATACTTTAAGTGAAATAAATTCAATTAAACTGAAAGCAGTAGTCTTGATACATAATAAATGATCAAAACAATAGAATTTACTCAGCAAGGAAAAATACCACTGTCCTTTTAATTAACGTGAGTAGCTTGATACTACTAATGAAATCCTGCGAATAATAAGCTGAATTTTCTATACAACCCTCCATGACTGAGGGAAAAAAGAATGCGATGAATCACACTGTTCATCCACCTCTCCGAAATATCATCAATGTCTTATACTTTAATAGACTGAAATGGCTGAACGAATGAAATAAGGCATTCACCCTAATTAGGGCTATTTGCTGTATTTTTAAGTTCTTTTCTCTCGCAATCGACTTCTAACTACAGGCTTTACCTTCTGTAAACATGAATCACTTCTTTTCGGTTTCACATTTTCTATAACCTTAGTAATATTCTATATCGCACGCTTGGTTTTATATTAAAACTCATCGTAGATTATATGCACGCCTCTCTTCTGTCTTATTCTTCATCAACTAGATGGTTTATGAAGACCATCCGAGTGAATCGTTTGGAGGAGCTTCTTGTCAATACAGTTAGATTTCATCCTATTTATTCCTCCTTATCCTTAGCTAAACTTTTTATATCAGGTAGAGAAATTTCGATACTTGCAGTAGAATGATGTGATATGTCCCCGAAAACAAAAAGGTGTCGATCAAATAAATTTTCCAATTCAATGCCTAATCCTAAACGTCGATGGACTGGTAAATGTTCCTGCATACAACGTAACACCTTAGCTATTTGAATTCTGATCTATGTTATATTATGGTCTACTTTGATATTAGTATTACTCTTATAATAAACTTACTTCTTAAATTGTAGACTTTTCATGATGTAACTCAGTAATCTATACATGGAAGTCGCATCACTGTCTACACTGAACCATCGTATTGTAACAGTCATCAATATATGATGAAGAATATATTTAGGCTGGATATAGAACAATTTACTTAAAATGGATCACAATCATTTTGCATCAGTATGACCACCCCTACAATGCCAGCCATGCCGTCCGACCGATCGGTTTCGAATGAATGTTACCGCGTCCACCATTATTGACCTTTTCTTAGTGTTACGTGCTGAAAGTTTATTTTCCAACTTATCTCATGATCACCTTTGATGATTGTGGCTAGGATCCAATACCGCTACAATCCAATCTTGACTTATGTGTTGGATACATCTTCAGTGCAAACCATGTAGTTACAGACAAACCCCCCTTTTATAAGCTTTTTCAATCGCTCTAACAGATTCAGTCCTGTTGAGGCAGCTTAACTTTTTAGGTTGATTGACAAATCACGTCATGATTTCTTATAAACAACCCTCGAATTTTAGCTGAAACCGGTCAGAACATGTGAGAACATTATACACAAATAAAGATTGTTTATCCTTACCCAAACAATATCATGCCAACGTTTGGGATACATCCCTCGATCTATTCGTTCAAGTGTTCTACCAGCCATCAAGTCTATTGTGTGATGCTGCCTACTTCGAATGAATAAAAGCAGTGAGGAGAAGGCGCGCAAGGTAAATAGACGTAACAAAAGTTCTTTACGTTTTTTATCGACATTGGATCATGTTCATTTTAATCCGGCATGGATCCTTCTTAAACCGAATAGCTTATCTGTCTCTTGTTTCATATGACAATTTGAAGCAAAATCTGTCAATTAAATCGCTTATAATACTATTGTACATTTCGTTTTAAAACGGCGGCCTACAAATTTCGTTATCCTATCGACTATTACAACAGGTCGTGATGTCAGTCCAAAATGTGATTATTACACTGTCTTAGAAATGGAGCCCTTCTGAATGACCTTCCGCCACCGGCGAAACTGTGGAGATATGCCTGGCAAGCTTATTTTGTAAATAGTTTTCGATGTTGTTTGTATTTATTTTGTCAATTTTTCACTGCATGTACATTTATCATTAAATGATTGTACGTGTTGTTTAAGTGTATGACCTTGAACACACTTTCCTTCCGTTGTGCAGCCTCATAGCATGACACATTGTTGACTGCTAACAAATATATTGTTAAGCACATACATTAATTCGTGATTGTGTTTACAACATTTCACTGATATATAATAACATTATCACTTGTACTTAATAACTCTATCATCATTTTTGAGTTCGTATATTGTCTGGTCCACCACAAAACAGCAGTATAATTCGGCGACATATACACCGCGTAAGAGAAACTTACTTGCATTTCCATCATGTTGAATTCATAGTATAGTGAAAGCTTATGACAGATATATCATGAAAATATTAGCAACCATCGACTACTTCAAATAATCTGAGTTTAGCCTGCCACACAGGTCGACGAATAAATTAAGTCCAATCGGCTAAGCCTGCTACCATCGCACCCTAGTCCATCAATATAATTATTCAGCTCGCTGTACGGAGTAGTGCATACTCTATTGCACATCGGTATTGTGCCAAGCCTCTACTTGTAAAGATTAGTTTGTTACGAGTGTAACAGTAGTG